GCTCCTGGGTGGCCGTGAAGCTGGCAGCTTGTGAAGGCGGCATTTTTCCTCTCCAGAAAGGAGTTTCTGCTTCTTCTACCTCTGATAGGATTGTCCATTGTTGCAGGAGTTCCTCTTATCCAGTTTTCAGTTCTGTCTCGGGGGTAATTTTTCCACAAGTAGTTGTAAATTGGCTGTGTCTGCCGGAGGAGGTGAGTTCAGAGTCTGCCTACGCCGCCACGTTGACTTCCTCTTGGATTTCATCACTTTTGAGAAATAAAATATAGTAATCTCTGTACTTTGAAAAGTTAATGAATTTCTTTCCAAGTATTCAATTTATTTAATAAATATCTAGTCATCATAACTAGATAAACTTTTTTCAGAGAAATTTAAAGGGTGAAATATCCATGATTCTCAAATTATGAAAGCTGAAAAAAGCTAAAGGATGGATAGAAAAATGTGAATTTTCTGTTTAGAAAGAAAAAAAGAAAACCTTGCAAATTCCGAAAGTTTGGTTGTTAAGTGTGGAAAACACACTCTCCAAATCCAAGAGACAGAAAAAGTCCCAAAGCCTACCTTGCCATCCACAATTCTGTCAAGCCATTTCAGTTGACTGATGATGAGTCGAGGCATGCTGATTCCATCACTGTTCACTCTGAAATGTTAGAACAGAAGACAAGGAACTTAGCCTTTCGGAGTTATACAACAGTAAGCATTAATACTGCATAAAATATTTCAGCTATTCAATTAACATTTACTGAACACTTACTATGCATTGTGCACTGTGCTAGACATGCAGGTAACACAAGAAAAGCATGAGACATATGCTTAGATACGTTGAGAAACATCTGGAAGAAAAGGCACTAAACTGTTAACAGTGGCTACATCTGGGGAAGGGTTTAGAGAGAGAGGAAGAAAGGTCTGGAGAGTACCTCTTAGTAATAATGTAAACAATTAAATATAAATAAAGGTAATAAACTTTAACAAATTGAATAAGATGAAATTTTAAAAAGGTAAAAAACTAATTACATCAATGTGGTAAGTACTGAAAAAGGCAAGCATATTGTGTTATGGAAACATAGAAGGTCAAATTAGATTGTTCATGAAAATACTGAAAACCATTTATGGATGAAGAAATGTTGGCTCAGTCATTATTATTTCCCCCAAAATGACATTCTCTGCTTTCCTCCCAACCTCCTATGTCTAAAGTTTGGACCACCTCCAGTTCTTCTTCTTGATAGCACTCTTGATGTTTGTTTACTACAAATTTAACTGCTGAAAAAGACTTAGTCAAGACATTAAGCATGTATGTGAGCCATTCAGGCAAAGCACAAATTTTTAAGGATAAATCTTCAAGTTTATTATTATCACATATAAGACCCTGAAAAGATGCAGATTAAAAAGGAGAAAATAGGGGCCAGCCCCGTGGTGTAAGTAGCTAAAGTTCCGTGCGTTCTGCTTCGGCAGCCCGGGTTTGCAGTTTTGGATCCTGGGTGTGAACCTACACCACTCGTCAGCCATGCTATGATGGCGACCCACATACAAAATAGAGAAAGACTGGCACGGATGTTAGCTCAGGACTAATCTTCCTCAAGCGAAAAAAGAGGAAGATTGGCAATAGATGTTAGCTCAGGGTGAATCTTCCTCAGCAAAAAAAAAAAAAAAAAAGAGAGAAAATAAAAACGACCTATAATCCTGTCACCCAGAGATGTCCACTATTAATACACATAATAATAATATATGTATCTATGTGTATGTATGTATCTTTTTTTTAACAGAATACTGGGCTGAACTGTAAATACTAATTTGTAGCCTGAATTTTTTTTCAATTAATATGTGGTACTAAGTAGTCTTTTATAATTTTTAATGTCCACATGATATTCCATTGTGGGGATGTACCTAATTTACTTAACCCATCTCCTATAGTTGAACATCTCAGTTGTTTACAATTTTTTGTTATTTTAAACAGTAATCTTATTCAATATTGCTTTCACTCAGAGTTATTACCTTAGGATAAATTAGGAGACATGGTTGAGCATTAAAGAGCATGTAAAATCTAAGGTTTTGATACTCACAACATACTGCCCTTCAGAATAACTGAGCTGATTTATATGTTCATCAGTGATGTATGAGTGTGCCTATTCATTACATTCAAAAAAAAAAAGATCCTGGGCCGGCCCCGTGGCGTAGTGGTTAAGTGCGCGTGCTCCGCTGCTGGTGGCCCGGGTTTGGATCCCGGGCGCGCACCGACGCACTGCTTGTCAGGCCATGCTGTGGCGGCGTCCCACATAAAGTGGAGGAAGATCGGCACAGATGTTAGCCCAGGGCTAGTCTTCCCCAGCAAAAAGAGGAGGATTGGCATGGATGTTAGCTCAGGGCCTGATCTTCCTCGGAAAAAAAAAAAAAGATCCTTTGAGAGTGGAAAAAATGTATTTATTGTTTTAAATTTATGTCTTTATCAATGACATTGACCATTTAAAAAAAATGTTTGATGCTCTTGTATTTCTTCTTTGTGAATAAATGATATGATGTGAATAAATGATATGATATTATGTCTGTTCATGACATTTATCTACTTTTCTATTAAGCTGTTCATTTTTTTCTTAGTTATTTTTTAAAGTAAATTAAAAAAAATGGTAGCACACATACACTACAAAATTGAAAACGTAAAGAACAGTATTCAGAGAATATCTGACTCCAGCTAATTGGCTCCCCTCCTTGGAGACAATGATTACCAGCTTATTGAGTAGTCTTCTAGGAATATGTAGTCATATAGATAAGATTTCAAAGAAAGACACCCCAGTGAAATTTTAGGAGTCACTTAAGAATCTGGCATCATGATAAATATGACTTTCAGAGAAACCAAGGATATATCAGAGCAATCTTTTCAGAGAGAAACTTAAGTTCACCAGGGTACTTTGAGTATTCTAAAATAACTCCACTTACTTTTCAAAAAGAAATTCTGGCAACTTTTCAAATAAAGTTTTGATAATGGCAGGATAAAAAAGAAGACATAGGGAGTTAGGAGATGGTCTCAAGATACACAACAGAAGTGTATAATTAGCCATAAGTCTCTCCAACAAGAGTTCTTGGAGGAAAAATTCTGCTACAATTGAAATCCTCTTATTAGAAGAATGTCCATATGAATGCTACCAATGTTTTGAATATAAGCTGTTGGAAAGAAAAGCCTTATCAATAATTTGTATTCTGAAAAATTGCAAAATGACTATCAAGGCAATATTAAAATAATCAGATAATCAAAAATATTATTAAATATGGTAACTGTTAACTCATTAAATGCAGACTTTAAAATATTATTAAATGGTTTGCAAGAAAAGAATATTTCTCTTCAGAGGAACATGAGGTCTCTTAGATTTAAGCTAATTAAATTATACCCAAGATTTCCAATGAAAAGGAAGAGATAAGAGTGTGGGAAGATTAACGGTGGGAGAGAAGAAAGGAGGAAAAATGGAGCCCAGGGTGGGATAGAGACTTTTCATTGTATATACGTTTTTATAATTTGAGATGTTTAAAACATGTCAATGTATCATCTACTAAATAAATTAAAAGAGAGAAAAAGGAGGAGAAAAAGGCAAAATCAAGTTAATAAGAAAATAAAAAGCTAATTGGGAGGTGACACAGATCTGACTACGGCAGGGATACACAAGGTACCCAGAATACACAGAATGAAGCTTTACGAAACAGGAATCAGAGGCTGAGGGAATAAATGAGACTTTGATACGTACTGGGCCAATCAGCTCAGTCCAAAGATGCAGATATTGCCCCACCAGATGCATTTCAGCAACAGGGCTATGGTAAACTGCTGCAAACCCCAACTCTTCCCTTCACCCCACGCTACCCTGTGCTCCGGCCACTTACAGGCATACGCCACAAACTGCATCCATCAAATGTTCACAGAAAAAGTGGCACGGTCTCACCTGTAATATGTCAATCCCCAGAAGCAATTTAATGAGGCTCTTAGAGTAAGATGCGCCCATGCTGTAAAAAAAGAGATATTTGTTTTCTATTTTGTTTTCCTTGTTTTAAGGATTTTATTATCCTCTCTCCATAAAATTGGTTAAATATATAATCTTTAAAGACAAACTATTCTGTTAGATAAGAAATACAGAACATGAGAAGATGGTTCTTAAAGGAGAAGTAGAGAGTTGAAATTCTATCAACACAGGTAAGACACATTCTAGAAGACACTCTGCTTCTTAGTCTCGTAACCATAAACTTAGTAACTTAAAGGCTAGGTTAAAACTCTGAGGAAAAGAGAGCTATAAATCAAAAGTAAAATTCCAAAAAATTGCATTCTGCCCCACTCCTCCAATCCAGTTAGTGTAACAGACTAAATTTCAGCAAGACTCCATGCCTCTGTTCCACACCTGGCTTCTTCATCCTGCAGACGCTCACAAGACAAAAGGCAGTTCCTGAAATTGTCTCGGTCCTCAATGTAAGACTCCAGGCCACTCATAAATTCTTCTATTATCTTAGTGACATTAAAAAAAAAAAAAAGATAGGGTAAGAGCAAGATTTTTAGTTTAACATTTGCTATGGGTTAGCTGAAAATCATTCTAGCCCATTCAACTTTATGCCAGTGTCTTTAAATTCCCAATTCCAGAGTACTGCTGGCAAGAGCAAAAGTATCTGAGAGAAAATACATATGTTGGGATAAGAAGGATGCTTCCTCAGAGTCTGAAAGAGCTTCTTTTGGACAATGATTTGATCCACAGCTATGAGGAAAGAAGAATAGTTGGTCAGCAGAGACTTTACCATCTCCTACCACAGTTCTAACTTCCTAAAAACCTAAGTTTCCTGTGTGATGAAACCAATAAAGATACTTTCAACCTAATTTCAGAGCCAAATCTTCTAAACCCACAGTAAAACAGACAGCTTTGCAGAGGATAGTTATCAGGTGTTCTACAAAAGACATGCCATAACCTTAGCTGAATGGAATAATCTATATCCCCAAAGCAGGGCCGTCCATGGTTTTATAAAATTTCTCCTGAAATTATTCTGACACAGATCTAATTGCTCTCTGGGTATTAATGAAATTTTTCATAAGAAAACATAAAGTGACACTAGTATATATTTTTTCTCAAAAAAAGAAAAAACAAGATTAGAAGTACTTTACTTATAACATGCGTTAATCAGGACCAAAGACTCTAACAATATTCTCTAAAAAGCAATTTCAGTTTCATCCTTGTCTAAAGATGGATGGTGCTCCATTTCTAATCTTCACTGCCTCTCTATTTAGATAATCCATGGTTCAGTTCTGATCCCTTTCACTATACCCAGAGAAAAGATTTAGATTAAAATATTACCTAGTTGATTCTGACTCTTTCCTGTTTTAAGAATAATTCCTGATGTCTTAAGAAGCTTTAGAAAGACACTGTTGTTTTCTTCAACTTCATTATGAACACGAGATTTCTTTGTCTTTTTGGAAAGTGGTTGCTTCCTGGCTTCTGAAAATAGGCAAAACTTTCAAGAATGAGACAAATAGTAAAGCAAAGATTAAAAACTAAACCCTAGAATAATAACCCTAAGAGGAAAGTTGATAAGTTCCTAAAGAATTATACTGGAATTGATGCTGAAGTGAAATTTTATCTCTAACAATGGTCAGTGATAGCAGCTTTCAAACAAACAAATAAAACAACCAAACAATTATTTTCACCTATTGACTTCTCATTTGAAGAATTCAAAAATGTGCCACCTGTAACAAGAATATGCATGCAAATATTTTCCACTGAAATTCTAAAGCAGTCAGGGTCTTTAAAGCTGTTGTCTGCAAACCACTGCATTGGAATCCCTGGGAAACTTATTAAAAGCATATCCTTAGGTCACATCTCAGAGCTACTGAATCAAAATCTCGGGGATGGGGCCTGGGAGTCTGAATTTTTATCAAGCTCTCCAGGTAATAATCCTGATGCACCCAAGGTTTGAGAACCAACGATCTGGATGCAGGGGTAGAAAGAATGGGGCAGGTTCTCCTGCATCATATCTTTGAGTAGAAAGCCCAGATTGATTTCATCCCGAGCCTTTTAACCAACTGGAAGTAATAAAACAAACAAAACAAACAAGTAGTTGAAGTATGACTATCTACTCTTCTCTCTTAAGGATACAACAAATTAGAATTGCCTTGATAAAGTAGATGAGGGTAATAAATGAAAAAGACCATTGACCTCTTCTTGTCGGAACTCTTAGGGCCTCTGTCAACCACATTCTCAATGGACAGGGTCTGCAGTATTTTTTTGCCTCTGGTGTGCTTGCTTAGATGACGCCTTTCCTTTACACATCATCACCATAGCATTTATCTAGATTCTAATTTTTTTACGGGAGGAGAGGGGACCATAGGACTTTTTAAAGGGTAGGGACTACGCTGTATCTTTGCATCCCAGCACCCAGATGATGTACAGTAGATAGGCTCTATAACACTAACTCCTCTTATGACGTGGAGCCTGAAGCTCAGAGACCGTGGGCATGCCCACAGTCATACATGGAATTAGAGGCAGAAACTCAATCCCACATCTCCTGATACTAGATTCTATGTGCTCTGTCCATTAAGACTTGATGACTCTCAGCACTTGAAACTAGGAAGTTTATGTCTCTTTAAGTGCCTCACACATTTGCTACAGGAAATAAAGCAACAAATGACCAGACACTTACAGGAGGCATGTGCTGTCATGTTCTCTTTCTCCTCAGATTTTGACCGTCTTCTTTTGGAAAACATTTTGACCAAAGTCTTCTGCAGTTAAATTACTTTCTAGAGCAAAATCAGAGAACAGAAGTTACCCTCTAGAAGCTAGATAAATTCTGAAAAGTTAAAGCTATAGCTCAAAGAAAACGACTCTATTCAAGACCAAAGAGGTTCTAGTCTTTACACTAATGCTATCTAAATCCAGGTGCTGAGAAACTTTCAACTCCTGTATCTGGTCAAT